AGCTAAAAACTGGGTGGGCCCCAGAGTAGGGGGTTCAAATGCTGGAGTCCCTAAGTTCACCCAGGACCACCCCAGGAGCCACTGCAACATTGGCCCCTGTTACCATGTCCATGGCACTCCCCACAGACTCACAGAATATACACACTGTGCTAGGTGTATATATACATATATAAATATATATATAATATATAAAATACAGATATGGAAATGACTGTTCTGCTGTTAAAATAATGTATACTCTTATTTTCTTCCTTTCATGATTAAGATTTTTTTTTAAGAAAAGTTAAATATTCTTCAACTGTCGTGGTGTGTGAGTGATTCTTGGAACTGCTATGATAAAAGGTATTGTGGTGGTTCCCCCTGCGGCTGGATAGAGGGACAGAAAGACGTCCCCCCTCACCCGACGTCCAGTCCCAGACCCAGCTCTTGCCATATTCTCTCCCAAGCTCCAAATGTGTGCTCACCGAAGTACAGTTGGGCAAACTAAGGTACACAGCCCCATGGCCAAAACACCAAAAGACACTTCACCCACTTAAACACACACACACATACATACAGGAGCGGTGGATCCTAAGTCACGAGACCTCCTGAGCTGCCCTCAGTAAGCGGCAGGGCTTTAAAGGCAAACATGCAGCGGAGGGGCACCCCCTGCAGGCTCTGCACCCCCAAGCCAGCCACGACCGACAAAGCCACATCCTCTGACTAACCATCCAAATCTTCACTATCTCTTTGCCTTCGCTGCTGGCCTTAGAGACAAATTCTCTTTCAGCCCTAATATCCTTCCTCCTAACCTATAACGATTCCAGGTGCTGACCTCGTGAGCTTATGGTCTAGTTGGGCATGAGAATTAGTGCACAGTCATTGGTGCTTAAGTGTGAATAAGAATGGACTGGAAAGGTTCACAGCAGCTTTACCTTAGAGCAGCGGTTCTCACCCTGTGGGTCGCGACCATCGGAAAACACATATAGCAGATCAGATATTTACATGACGATTCATAACAGTAGCAACATTACAGTTATGAAGTAGGAACGAAAATAACTTTATGGTTGGGGGTCACCACAACATGAGGAACTGGATTAAAGGGCCGCGGCCTTAGGAAGGTTACTGCCTTAGAAGGATCAGGTAGGAACACCTGGGGAAGCTGAGGGGACTAGGCTCGCCAGGCCCCTGTAATTGCTCGTGTTCTCGTGTTGGGACTCTAACGCTGGCCAGGTTTCTGCAGCAGCTCAGCCAGCTGCCAGGGCTGAGCAGGTGGTCAGAGGCCGAGAAGCCTGGAGGGCCACTGAGCTTCACCAAGAGTGCTCTCGGCAGGGAGAGCACATCTCTGTCGTGGCAACAGAGTGAGGGAAGGGGGACCAGGTTAGCTGCCCAGAGGGGAAGGGGGGACACTTCCCTGGAAGCCCCCTGTAAAGTGGCTCTGGGCTCCCAGGAGCCAGCCCTGCGCGCTCCGCCTTGTGGGAGCCACACGCACGGGCCCCCAGCTCTCCTGACTCCTCTGGCCCTGCACCATTTGGGTGTCCTGGCTTAGGATTGCGGACATCTGTAGGTGCAGGTGCTCCAGGAGCATGGGTGAGAGTGCTGTGGCCTGAGCAAGCAAGAACTAGGCCCTCGGGAGGCAGGAGAGCAAGGCCCGGCAAACTGCAGCGAGCGATTCAGCCATTCCTGGCCGTTAGATGAACAGACTCGAGAGTCCAAATGGTCCAAGTATTTCCAGAACAAAGTTTTTAGACAATTTCAAGGGGAAAGTACAGCAGTGGCCTTTGTTACTGACCTGAGATCTCACCTAGGGAGGTCAGCCCACACCCGGGCAGGAGATGCTTCTGTGGCCAGAGCCTGTGAGCAGGAGAGGGGAGGGGGGCCCTAGGTGGCGGAAGCCAGGGCCTCCTCCTCTCTGTGCTTGGCCTTACTGATGGGGTCCCTTGGCAGCATCAGTTCCTGCATCATCATGTACATGGGGTTTTGCGGGGAGAAGTTGTTTTTCTGAAGGAGGAAAAGGAAGGCCGATGGCTGACAAAAGGGATGGAAATGAGTTTTCTGGGAGGAAAGTCTCTGGTCAGGATGGGTGAGGGGCTGCGGGATGGGGACAGACGGCAGAGTGAGTATGTGCTGATCTTACAGCAAGACAGACTCACCGCCAGGGACAGCCAGAGCAGCCCCACGGGGCCCTTGGCCGCACTCTTGGAGGACCTGGAGAACTGCGCCTGGTACCGCACCACGTTGAGGAAGCCCTCCAGCCCCACCTCGGTGATGCGGTTTCCTGGTGGAGGGAGCCGAAAGTGCCTCTTACACCACCACCCTCAGGGCACACCCTCCACAGCCTCACTCCACCCCCACCAGCTCCCAGCTCCCAGCTCCCAGCTCTGACACTGCCTTCCCTCAGCTTTTTCCTT